TTCACACTGTGACAAGAGATTCAATCAGTCAGGAGACCTGAAAACACATGAGAGGATTCACACTGGAGAGAAACCTTACAAGTGTTCACACTGTGACAAGCGATTCAGTGATTCAGCAACTCTGAAAACACATGCGAGGATCCACACTGGAGAGAAACCGTACAAGTGTTCACACTGTGGCAAGAGATTCAGTGATTCAGGATACCTGAAAAAACATGAGAGGATTCACACTGGAGAGAAACCTTATATGTGTTCACACTGTGACAAGAGATTCAGTGATTCAGGAGACCTAAAAAAACACGAGAGGATTCACACTGGAGAGAAACCGTACAAGTGTTCACACTGTGACAAGAGATTCAGACTGTCAGGAACTCTGAAAACGCACGAGAGGATCCACACTGAGTAAAACCGTATCACTGCACTGCATGTGGGAAGTGTTTCAATCAATCTTCTAATCTACACAAAAAACGATCACAGTAAGTAGATAATCTTCAGATCCAGCACTTTCAGGTCTGATGCCGCGTCCTCATTAAATGTGACACAATAATGCATCAAGCAATAAAATATAATCTGGATAAATCATTCCTTGCCATCCATTACATATGGATTGACAAAGAAATATTATCTAAAGTTTTCAAAGTGAATAAAGTTCATCTTCATCTTCAAAACCAGCAGATTCAACTGTGAGATTCAGATCAACTCAAAGATGAAGTTCCTCCTCAAAGAACAATGTCAAAAAGTTTTATTCTTGTATATCATTTTGCATCATAAATTGTATTATTGTGCATTTTTATGAGTTTCATATTATGTTCAATCGTTTCATATAATGATCAATATGTTAAATAAGCAGGATTGTAAGAATAGTAACACCATTAAAACCAATACCCATTCTTGAATGAAGTGAAAGTCAGTAGGAGAGAGATCCATCTCATTAGTGTTCACTTTTACTTAGAATCAGAATCAGAATGAGCTTTACTGCCAGGTATGTTTACACATACGAGGAATTTGTTTTCGTGACAGAAGCTTCCACAGTGCAACAGAATGACAGTGACAGAACAAAAACACAGATAAAAAATAAATAAATAAATAAAATAAAATATAGAACAAGTAAATAAGGAATACAATGTACAAATTGACAATTGTATGTACAGGTATATTACAATAGATAGTCTACATTTCAATTTTGCACTAATATACTGTACCTTTACAAACAAAACTAAGTATACAGGTGCATCTCAATAAATTAGAATGTCGTGGAA